AATAGAGGAAAAAGCCTGGTTAAATGACTCTTTGATCCTCTAAGTACTATTCATAGAACTCCACACCACAAGACATGGGGGAAAAAAAAACAGGTTGTAAGCTGCCATGGAAATCATCCAACGTCAAGAAGTTACCAATTAAATCAACAGCAAAAAAAACAGAAGACAAAGGTAACAATTTTTGACATAGTAACATTCCAAAGACTTGAAATAATAGGGTGTCAATAAGGCCATCATTCGAAAAACAGGCATCAGCAGTTCAGCACTTGTCTTGCACTTTTTATCTTGCATAAACCCCATTTTCTGCAAAAACAACCAATTACATCCTAATTTGCCTTCAGCACTTGTTACTAGAAAGTAGCTATCCATTGCCCATAGAGTAAATTCCATCAATAAATTATTGCTAATACTACAACTTGAAGCATATATGTATGCAAAATCAAAAGTCAAACACGACATCTTAAGTTCCATTTGGTAGCATATCAATTGATGCTTATCCAATCAAAGGTGAGAAGCCTCCATATTTGCCTCCAACAAAGTACACCTACTCCCTGCATTTCTTATTGTTTCCCCCATTATCAATTTAAGGACATCCTTGAAAGATCACCCGATTCCTATTTAAGTCCATTAGGGCTAAATCTTTACTCTCACATAAATCACATTTGGCCTCACCATTTGTCTCTCATTAACTCCACTCAACCAAAACTTACCTATCCATAGCCCATAGAGTCAATCCCATCAACAAATTATCGCTAATATTACAACTTGAAGCAAATATGTATGCAAAACCAAAAGTCAAAACCATTATCTTACATTCCATTTGGTAGCATATCAATTGATGCTTATTCAATCAAAGGTGAGAAGCCTCAATATTTGCCTCCAAAAAAAAAAAAACCTACTCCCTCCATTTCTCATAGTTCCCCAAATATCCATTTAAAGTCGTCCTTGAAAGACTACCCAACATCTATTTATGTCCATCACGGCTAAAGCTTTACTCTCACATAAATCACATTTGACCCCCACCATTTGTCTCTTACTAACTACACTCAACCAAAACTTAACAAAGTAAAAATAGGCGGGAGTATATTTCAGCTGAGAGCACACTCAAATCACGGTTTTGGCGTGATCAATTCGCCTGCCCAAATTCAACTTCCTCCACCACCACCTGAATCATCCATCCTTATCCGTCCTTAGCTACTAAAACAAGATACAATCTAATTACAATCACAAGCATCACATCCTGATAAACTTCTTACAGCCATTCTCATTTCGAAACGCTTACAACCATTCCCATTTCAAAACGCTTACAATCATTCTCATTTCGATACGCTATCAAGTTAGCCGATACCTAATCATTAAGCTCTAAACAGTAAAAAGATAATCAAGATTCTACCATCAACATATAAAGCACAACAACATAATCAAAACAAGTAATAATTACAATTAAAAACCTAAATTAACAAAGAAGCAAACCTGTAAAGCTCCTCAAAGCTAAGACCACTAGCATTTTCATTGTAAATCTCCTCAATAGCATGCTCCAATATTTTCCAAGTCTTATCAGCATATTTCGGATCCACCACCACCCTATGCTTAAACGCCTCTATCTGAAACGGCTTCCTCCTTTGATTACTCATTTTCTCTCTCCTATTCCTCTCTCTCTACCTCGGAATTCAAACCCAGAAATCCAAAACCAAACAACAAATCGAGAACAAAGCGATCACCCCCAAAAACCTAGAAATTCTTCTAACAAAACGGGGGAAAACTACGACAAAATTAAATTAAAAAAAATCTTCGTTCGCCAAATTTGAAAGGGTGTTCTGAAGAAGATCTGGGGATGAAAAGTATTAGATTCGAAAGGAAAATAGAGAGATTTGTGAAAAGAATAAGAATCGAGGTGGGTGATTGGAACTAGGGTTTGTTCGAATTTGGGGTAAGATGATAACAATTAGGGCAGAAATTAAAGAGAAAAAAAGAGAGAAATTATGAAAATCTGGAAATTGGGGAAGGAATTTGTTAGAGGTTTCCAGGAAAAAGGGGGTTTTTGAGAGGAGAGAGAAAACCAGGAGGAAGGGAAGAAGGAGAGAGAGATGGGGGCAAATAATGAATTTTGGATTATTTTTCTCTCTATCTATTTTAGTTTCTGAAAATTCAAGAGGAAGAAGATGGATAGCTCCTCCCTTTTATTTTCTTTTTTTTTTTTTTTTTTTTTTGAGTTAATTCCGAAGATTTGACAAAATTGACTCACATCTGATTATTGGTAAACCTAAATTGTGATACATTTTCTAGTGATTGCAAAGTGAATAGTATATATTACTTATGTTCTCCCTTTCCTTCAAAATAAATGCCCTAATTTAATTGGCATATATGTTAACATATATTTTTTACCAATAAAGTCGTTAGTTACCAATAAGTATGATTATTGTTCTCAAAAAAAAAAAAAAAAAGTATAATTATTTTTTAAAAAAATGGTATCCAAAAACTATACGGTTCATCGGTAAGATCCGAACAAGTAGCACTATGCATAAAGCATATATTGAGGTTAACGTGGTGTCTGTAATATTACAAAAAATTAAAATGATACATGTATTTTGAAACAAAGGTAGGATAAGTAATCGGCATTGATAAAAGTAAAGTATATAAAATAGTATCGAAAGTCATAATAGAATCACTACACAAACAAGACCAATAATGTAATACTCAAATCCATAAAAAATACCAAGAGCAAATTTATGACAAGTCATTGTACTGTGTTGAAATTTATATTGTGTAGAGCTTTTGAGGCCACGAAAAGCTTGGGGCCAAAATCCTTTCAGTAAAATCGTGTATGTAGACATGCTCGACACCGTTGCCATGGAACTAATGGAAGCAATGAGTGATGGTGAGAAAAATCGAAAAGGCTTTGAAAGATGGCAAGCAATTGGGAATAACTCAGGTGCTGAAAGGTAATTTCATATCATGGGGCAAAAGGGTTAAAAATTATTCACACAAGAACATACACTTCTCACTTTATGTATGTATGTATAAATAAATAGATTATTCTTTAATATTTCGTAAAAAAATCATTCTTTTATAATGACCATTCCTTCTTAAAACGGGCACGTGTTGTAGGCTCATGTGTCGTAGTAGCGTGTCACGCGCTCAAGTGGGCCAAGAAATAGTCATGTTGTACCGAACTATTGCCAAGCTTTTATAAATTGAGATCAATCAAAGTTGTTCGCATGTCGTACTGTGTTGGGTTATGTTATTCCAGGAAGTTGCTTAATAAATTACAGACTATATTTTATTTTATAAATTTGTCAAAAATATGTGGTCTAACTCGTCGAGCTTGTGTTGAATTTTGAAACGATGTATATGTACGGGTTCATGGCCCACTGGTGTGTCTCTCGTGCCGTGTCAGGCTTAAAAAGGGCTTATAGCGAGTCATATCATTTTCATGGCAGGCCTAACTGGCCCTTGTCAAAGGCCTGACTCATATAACATCTTAATTCATTCTATACAATGAGGTAGAGCTTTGGTTAAGGAGTATACAACATCAAAAACTTAAGAAAAAAATTAGGAACTTGGCTCTAATTAACAACAAATTAGAGTGGTCCATAACCTTCAAGTCCCAAGATAGAAAATTGGCTCTAATATTTGATGTTATGACCAAGTTAGACCAAAAATATGATCGGATTAAAACTTTAATTATTATCATTTAATTTTGCTAATTTTTTTTAATAAAATTATGTATTTGAATATATGATTAGACGAATCTAAACAAATTTTATAAATTAGATTACTAGTTATAATTAAGTTAAATTAATACATCGGATTAAGTTAGCCAAGAAAAATTTATATTAAACCAGATGACCTTATTTTAGGGGAAGAGAAGAACAAATCCTTTCTTTGAGAAAATACAAAAGTTTTTCTTTATAATAAATACTTTCTCCGTCCTTTTATTAGGAAGAAACTCCTTTTACTTACACAAGCTACGAGACACACGCTACGTGTGTACATTATAGGAAATTTATTAATTTACTCATAATATTGTTATTGTGGATTTTTTCGAAAATCAATACATGCATAAACTTTAAATTTAAGAATGATTTTTTTTTCTCAATAGGACATCTACTCCACTTCGTGTACCTCAGTTAACTTTAAAAAATGTTGTTGATCGTTGAGTTTTTATATAAAAGATTGAAAACTATAGAGTAAACATCTACGGTAATAGTACGTATACAGATTAGATTGATGTATAATTTGTCCTTTTATTTTTTTCTAATAAATTTTAAGGTTTTTTTTTCCTCCTTCGAAATGTAGATTTTTTTGAAGGAACTATATTGGTATTAATTTTCCTTTTTTTTTTAAAAATAAAATCATGATATAGTTATCTTTTAACAAAGTTTAACGTGGTTTTTTTCAATTAAAAAAAAAAGTAAATGTGGTTTGTGGTTAGTTACATTCTTTTATTATTTATGAAAAGTAGATAATTTTTGTTTGTTTTTAGTGATAATTCTAGTTAGTGGGTAGTTAGGGTTCGTTTGGCACTGGTTTTCTGTTTTTTGGCCTTTTGTTTTCTAAAAGTATATGATATGTGTCCCATAATGAATTAAAAATTATATAAACTTGTTAAAATTATTATAATTTTGAAAACTGACAACAGAAAAGTGGAAACACCTTTTTCTTGTTTCCTGTTTTTGGTTTTTGATTTTCAAAAAAACAGAAAACTTAAAACCAAAACTGATGCCAAACAAGCCCTTAGTTTTTAGTTTTGTTTTTTTATTTGAAAGAATAGATATATATTTTTTTTTGGAGTAGTTATGAATGATTTTTTTTTAAATATTAATTAATGAATAAGTAATTTTGTAAATTGAGAAGGGCATTTTGGGAAAAGACAAATTTATCACCCAAAAAGCCCTTTCTCTTTATATAGTAGTATAGATTTTTATTAAAGTCTAATTTCTAACCGTTATTACTCATATAATAAAGAAAAATAAGACTCTAATAAAATATCAAAGGCAGTATAAAAGATGTTAATCTATTGGTCTTTAAATAATTTCCCACCATACTGTCTCATATATCCCTATATTTTGGAAATTAGATGATTAAGCAACATTATTTTGGGTTTCAGCTCTATAAAATAAGTGTCTTGCTTCATATTTAAGCTACAATTGAAAAACCCCATATTTTTATCTACGTTTAATCCTCACTTCCTCAAATTTCTGGAGTTTCTTGAACATTTTATCATATCCAAGGTGAGCAAATAACAATTTTTATATTCAGTTTTTTGGTTTAATTTATCGTCTTCCCTTTAAATTGGTTGATTTTTGTGGGGTTTTTTTTTTTGGTGTTTGAAATGCAGTTTTTTTTGCTTAAATCATGGTGGATAATGCATGTACTGAGCACCCATTATTTGGCGGGGCAATATCAATGACCTTTCCTGATAGATTCCAGGTTTAACATGCCAAATTTCCCAATTTCTTGCTTTTTATTTAGTTATATTCGTGGGAAATTAACAATATTTTGGATTTTTGTTTTGTGTGCAATTTTGGTTTATATCTATAGGATTTGAGCAATGTACGGGAAGTTCCTGATCATCAGGTTGATTTTTTTTTTTTTTTGAATTGTTTTTTGGGGGTTTTAAATTATTTGTAGTGATATGTTTTGTGGGTGTTTACAAATTAATGGAAGGGTCAATGTGGATTTTGTTCCTGTGTATAGGAAGCGTTTGCTGATCCTTGTCGAGACGAAAGTCTCATTGTTGAATTGTTAGAGTTGAAGCAAGAGGTTGCTGATGAAGGTAGTGCTGTGTGGTTTCTTCAAGACCTTGCTAGGGAACAGGATGCTGAAGGCGGTATGGTGAGTAATGAGTTTGTCAAGTTTCGTTTCGTTTAATATCTTCGATGTTGGGTGAATTTCAATGATGTTGTTCTTATTGGATAACTTTGACATGGTATTAAATTTGATAATTGACCTATTATGGACTTTGTTGTTTATAAATGTGAATTAGGATTAAGGGGCGAGAGAAAATTCCTCTGATTAATATATCTATTCATGACAGATTTAGTGACTTTAGAAGCTATAATTGTGTGATGAAGACCTAAATGATGCTAGATATGTCACTTGGACTTACGAACTGGGATATGCAAGGAATTCGATTACCTGAACGTGGCAACTTAGTTGTCCAGAATTCAAAGTGGTATATTGCATTGTAGGTTATGAAAAATGTATTTAATATATGACCTGCAATTAGTAAATCCAAGTAGCAAGGGGAATTTCCACACCACAGCGCTCTTTAACATTGAAGCCACTTGCAGAATGACAAAGTTGCTCATCAATATCTTTTGTTAGGGTAAAATAGGCGTTTAAACTAGATATCATCATATCACCATTAGCTATCTACTTCCTGCGTGCCCTTAAAATCTGCTGTTGAAATATGATGAGTCATGCAGATGAGTTATTTATGACTCAAAGTCCTATGTGCATGTAGCATATGCCTATATGCGTGCTCTTGAGCAGTAGCCATGCATCTATGCCCCTTAAAATACAGTCTTTGAATTGAATTGTTTGATCATTGAGCATATGGAATTCATGCAAAAACAGTGCCAAAGTTTTCAGTGGCTCTGGTACTATTCAATACCGCTTGTTAATATTTCAAAATGCCATTAGATGGATTGTTCATGATCTGTATTTTTGGTTTATCATCTAATCATCATTTTATCTTTATTTTCCTAGTTGGATGTTTTGTTTAATTTCCATTGTTCCGGAAACTACAAAAATATGTTGATGATTGATCTTGTTTCAAGTACAGTTGATTGAGCAATCAGGAGTATTAGAGGTTCCGGGATTGTGCTACAGAAGTACACCTGCAGTCGTCACCAGTGCTGTTGGCCAAATGGTATACAATTAGTTATTACTTTGTTCAAGTTTGCTTCCATTTTCAGTTTTAGAATGATGTATTCGTTTGTAGAACGATCTTTAGATATTAAGTAACACTATTATAATATGCTTAGTGACCTCATTTCAGATTTGGCCTTTAGTACTTTTGTATGCTTAGTTTTACATGTTTTTTTAGTGTCTAAAATATTGTTTGAATCTGTTACTCTTATTGCTGTAGTTTCCTAGTTTTGATTTAAAATCTAGATTTTGCTTTGAATCATTTATATTGGATCTACAGCGTGCAAAGCAGCAGTCCTATTTATCAGATGTATTACTCATGTGTAGTCTTCTCTTTTAAATTATTATGGATCTTTTTAGATGCTTGAGCTTCTAAAAAATAGACAACAAAATATGTATGATGAGAAATTTGACTACCTCACGGTCAAATTTAGCTATTTTTGGCGAATCAGCCTTTTACCCTAGAGCACCCCCAACCAATGCTTTTAAAATCTTGGTATGCTGTAAGGAATATCATGTTTTGTGGAATATCTTTTAGCCTCCATGTTATGGCTATCAGCTTATTGTCATATTTACTAGTGTATCAACTTTTCTAAACTAAACCAAATTACCAATCATAATATGCTAACACTGTACTGGATCACCTATCCAATAAGAGTTCTATCGCGTTTGTCTGAGTTCTCGTGACTTAAGGTGCCAAAACTGCCAATGTAGCATGTAAAGTCAGATTTACTCTGTAGTCTGGCATGATGTTGAAACCATATTCAGATTAGTTATTGAAAAAGTTCCTCTAGGCCATATTTTCCATGTTCACTATGGTTCTTTCTTTTATTCCAGTCACTGACAAGTACCCTTCCTTTTGCTGCACACTTCTTGCAGATATTCTATATGAAAAATATGAACTGAACTTTTGAACTTCATTGTGATTGTATAATCATATTCAACTGGGATGTTTCTAGGATTTAGGATCATGGGCTGCAATATTCAGATTCAAGGTGGTCTGATGATTGTTAATGTGAAGTCCTTGAGTTCTTGTATTGCTGAAAATGAATGACAGACAGGCTTTGTAATCTCTAAGATGTAGATTACTAAATTCTAGTTTTGTCATGATTTTGCAGGCCATTTCTAAGGGACGTCAAGGAAGAGAGGCACAAAATATAGCAAGGGTAAGGGATTCTATTATTATAGTTTTATAGTTTATTTCTCTGTCCAATGTCAGCACAGATCTACAGTTCATAAGTTATTGACTATTTGTTGTGTGGCCTATTCAGGTTTATTTGGCCAATTTGCGTCTTAAGGAAGTTGGCACAGATATCTTGATCACTGCCTATGAGCCTGTTGTTATTAGGTAAGCTTGACAAACCTTCATTGTATGCATATAATTCATTTATCTTCCTATTGTTCCACACACTCTGGGAGCAACACCCCAATCTCTTTTACTCTTTTAGCTGCATCTGAGCTTATCTACTTAACTCCAAAATCAGGCAGACAAACTTTGGTAAGCTGAACAAAATATGCTTTCCAGTATATTCTGACACTTCTATATAAACCTCAACTGCCAGCCCGTCTCATATCCAAATCATCTAAGCAGATAACATGTACTGTGCTGCATGATGATGTATTCTAATCGAAAGTTCTGTTATGTGCTTTCTTGTGATTTTATGTTGGATGGAACTTCATATACACTGGTTTCAAGGGAGAAACGTGATTTACAAGAATAGTATCTTGAAGGTACTAGCTATTAGTTATATTGGGAGGTAGTACACCCAAATGGGCCAAATTCCTCTACCAAAATTAAGACAATAATTGTATCTTAACTATTATCTGGGGGGTCTTGTTGTAACTGACAAGAAATTTTAATTTTCAATATTTCAGTCCGTTCAGTGAGAGTGCTGGTACCGTTGGTGCTGGAGTAGTATCACCCGCTGAACAATCTGGATGTATGCCAATGGCTGAGGTCTTCAAGCTTTCTGTTTCTAGATTCAAAGTCAATGATTGGAGCCTCTTTAATGCTTGAAGATGTTATTTTTAGTAAATAGCACTGGTGCACTTTCGTATGAAGTAGTTTGTAGATGTGAAATGATAATTTGTTCGATGTCATCAAATAGAATTTTGCTACCAGAAGGTTAATACTTGGAAATTGTCAATCATTTACCTCATATCTTGTATGATAAACTAACTGCGATATAATAATACAGAGATTGTTTTGCTCCCTTGCACATACAATCTAAATATGCTAGTTGTGTGTAAGCTGTAGAAATGGGAAAGTAATTTGTTACTTGTGATCATCCTGTCGAAACCGGAAGTTCCTACTTACTGGATAGCTGATTATTGTTAGATATGCAGCAGCTCATTGAACTTAGTTTGAGGACTATACTGCTACGAAAAATGATCTTATATACTTGTATTGGTGTTCAGATATCAGAGAAGATGTTTGCTTTTGCCTTTGTTACATTAATCAGAAATCAGCAAAGATATTATACAAATGTGTGGTTTCTACGGGCATGGGTACCTTGTATCGTACCACCGTTTCGCAAAAAGAACATATTATACAAATGTAAAGAACATATAAATGTAGGGAAAAGAACATACTATTTTAATATAAAGAACATATACATAAAGTAAAAGAAACATATTTGCACCGAAAAAGAGTGAAAAGAACATATGTCCATGTTCTTAGGTTCATTGAATTTTGTCATAAATTTATGGTAGATATATATAAATAATGTTCATGTTCTTTATTAATATTACAGATATTCTTTATGTATATAACAAAACATAAAATTGGATGTTATTTACAAAACTGCTATATATTCTTTAAAAAGCTTTAAGCAAGGTACAAACGGTTGTACTTTAAAATTTTCAGATTACCAAATGTAAATGATTTCAAAGATAGCAAAGTCTCAAAGAAGAACGAATCTATTTTTTCACAAAAGATTACATAAAAGCATTGCTTTGTTAGCTATTTCTTCTGAAATTTGAAAGATAATCCGAAATCATACAGAATTTGAGTACATTTGAGAAGGTCGAACATCGTCATCTCCTCACTATCCTTCTTCGACGTCAACTAAGGGAAATAAGCAGGCTTATATAGAATCATTGTAGGAATATGTCACATTTTGCGAATGATTTTCCTATATACTTCCTCCGTTCTTTTTTACTTGACCCGCTTTGACTTTTACACTATTCATCAACCCACTTTTGACCGTCTTTTGTGAATTATAGGTAAAGAAAAACATATTCATGTAGGATCTTGTTAGAATCGTCTAAATAAGTGCTATCACAATATGTAACTTTTATAATTTTTACTTATAGAGTATTAAAATTATTGATGGTTAAACGTGTACATTGGCAAGCGTGATAAAAAAATAGGTCAAGTAAAAAAGAACAGAGGAAGTATGATATATCAATGATTCAATGCTAAAATAAGTACTGTAATACTTTCCCAAAGGCTTTTTTCAGAAAAATAATTTTTAAACGATACTAAGGGCGAGTGTCATGTCTTGGTTAACAATTTTCCCGCCAAAAGAATTTTATTTTCTTTTTCCAATCTCCTTAGCTTCCTCCTCTTATCCTTTGCATCTTCTTCCTCATATCCACCCATGACTCACCTCCGTCTTCTTCCTCCGATCCCAAACCACGACCAATCTCCACCTCCATCTTTGTCCTCTATCCTCCTCTTCACACCATTTTCAATTTAACTCTCATTGAAGCATCCCGAGCTTTCCTCTTGTAAAACACCATTTTCACCATCATATTTCCGACTTCCGAGCTTTGTTCAACGAAAATCCTACACTAAATGCAGCTTACATCAATTTTCACCGTCATATTTATGAGTGCAGTCAGGTGACGATAACATTGATGGCCAGTTATAGTATAGACTCTGACCAATTAAAAGTTTAGACTCTGACCTCCATGGTAAGCCATTCACGTAGGCGGACTTCAATGTACCTCCATGGTAAGCCATTCTAGTCCTTTGGAAACTTTATCAAAGGGTTTAGCATAATATCATACAAACCGTAAAAGACAAAAGCTACTTTATTTAGAGTGAAGAGAGTTCATATTATGATTCATACATAAACAAGAATTAAAAATAAAACATAATTTAACAATAGCATAGAGTTAGTTTCAGAATTTAACACATGATACTACTGACACAAACAGACAAGGCTGCTAAGTGCTATATCCACCTCTGGTTGTTAATAAGAGCAGGAAGGTACTCGTGCACAACAAAATCCACATGAAACGCGATCAATATTGTTCACCTCAGCAACCCTCTCCTCAGACTTGTTCACAAAGCTGTCGTTCAAGAGACTCTTAGCAATATCTAAATCCCCGTCATCCATATCTACTGTTTGGGTCCAATTTAGTCCAAATTGGGCCTAAGCACTAAATGATCCAATTAAAAGCCCAAGGTCAAGGTTCAACTCTCCAATTGTGCAAAAGTCAAAGGTCAGCCCACAAAGCAAGCCAATTGGGCTAAGGCCCAACCTCTCCGTGTATGATGAGGTATAAAAGCCATCACATTCACGTTCATATAGATTCTGATTCATATGCTCATTGATATATTCTGATATATTCCATAAAAGCCTCAAGCTACAAACTCTCTTGCATAGTGTCTTCTTCTTACACATTGTACTGACTTTAGCATCGGAGGGGCCTTCCTCGGCAACACCCCCGAGGCTAGTTTACGTGTGTTTACTGTGCAGGAAACCTTCGGCCCAACATAACTTGGACCGAATCCAGTCTTCTCCATTTCAGCGGACCTTCGGCAAGGTCCCATTGTTTTCACCCGAAACAATTTGGCGCCGTCTGTGGGGAAGACTTTCAAAAATCTTTAAGCCAAATTCCTAACCAAGATCATCTTGCAATTATCTTAGCAGCCATGGCTAAGAACCGCAAGAGCAAAAGCCTCCGTCAAGGAGCGGGCGAAAAGCCTAAAACCCCTACACCATCGCCCTCGCCGGACCGGAACTCTCCCAAGGGTGCCGGCTCGGGGGGAGGATCATACAAGGAGGATTCCCTATCTCCCGTAATTCATGACTCTCAATATAGGCCGGACCACTCTCGGTCTAGCAGGGGTCAGTCTGATCATAGGACATATTCAGTGTCCCAAAGCCAACCATCGGCTGCGCGGCCTCATTCCCACACTCGGCCGAGGACCCCTTTGACGGGGCCCAGTTCGGAAGAGGTGGCAAGAGCGCTGGCAGTACTCATGGAGGCAATGAGGGCACAAAATATGCCACCGCCTCGTGATCGAACTCCTCCGCATACCCGGCATCAGCGGAGGAAGTTAGACCATGACGGTGGGAAGCTTCCTTCCTTCCGGGAACTGGAAGAGTGGGAGGAGGATTCTTGGAAAAATGAAAAACAGAGGAAAAAGAACCCTCAATTATTAAAAGGATCCTCATCCTCAAGACCAGAAGCGCATAAGAGCAGCAGCTCAGCTTCTCGGCCAGAATCTACTCACCGAGAACCTGAGACTGTTCGCAGAAGCGTCCTTGACCGACTCGGCGGCCAGGAACCGAGCGTGCGTAGTCGCCTCTCGTTCCCTGCAGCCGAGGCCCAGACTTCCCAGCCAGGGACGAAAACCACTCCTACCTCTCTAAGAGGGCGGAGCGCGGTCCCTTCGGCCAGGAACAAGGGCAAGGCCGTTATGCTACCCGCTAGTTCACCATTCGAGCAATGGATACTGGAAGAGCGCGTACCCACGGTTAAAATACCGTCGCATATCACATATGACGGGACCACGGATCCGAAGGACCACGTGGCCTCGTATGAGACTCATATGCATCTTTGCCCCAGATCCGAGGCGACTTGGTGCAAATATTTCCCAACCACTCTCAAGGGGGTCGCGCAAGCGTGGATCTCCAAGGGAGTAAGGCAAGGCTCCATAACAGGTTGGGATGATCTGTCCTCCAAGTTCAGGAGCAAGTTTTCCACGGCAAACCGCCGAGAGAAGACTACCGCAGAGCTCATGAGTCTGCAACAGGGGGAAACCGAAAGCCTCCGAGACTACCTGACCCGTTTCAGTAACGAGTCATCAAGCGTCTCCCAGCTGGACCAGGGGTTAGCCGTTTTTGCAATGCAGAATGGCCTTCAGCCAGGAAAGTTCCTAGACTTCATGGTCATGCATACCCCGCAGACCTTGGAGGAAGCTCTTAGTGCTTCGGATAAGTTCATCCGAGCCGAAGAATGGAATAAAGCAAAAACCCAACCTCAATCCGGGGGAGGGAAACAGAGGCAAATACCCTTGTCTGAAGGCCAAGGCCATAAGGCAAAGGGAAAATCAAAGGCCCCGGAGCAATCTTTGGCCAACGACCCAAAGAAGGACAGATTTGCCTCATACACAGGCAGATACGAGTCCTACACTCCGCTCTCTCTTCCACGCGCCAAAATTTACAGTGTGACGAAGGAAGAGCAGAGTTACCAAAAGCCGCAACCACTCCCAGAGTGGTATCAGCGAAAAAATAAAAATCAGTGGTGTGAGTTCCACGAGTCTTCGGGCCACAACACTGAGGAGTGTATCCAACTGAAGGACCAGATAGAGGACATGGTCCGGAAGGGATACTTGAAAAAATACATCGCGGATCACCGCGAGAAAAAAGAATCCGAGAGGTCAGCAAAGGACCCTCGGCAGGACCTTGATTTCCCCCGGAAAAAACAGTAAAAAGCCGGAGGGGAAATTCCCTCCGATCAATGTTATCTCGGGAGGAATATACTCGCGGAGGGAGCACAAGCGCCACCTTAGAGCTTTGACTCACCAGGTGAACAACGCTGACATTCAATCTCCCCAGTCGCCGGTGCCGAACATGACGTTCACAGCCGCCGACTGCCGGGGGATCACGTTCCCTCATGAGGATCCGTTGGTGATCATCGCCACGGTGGCCAACCACGACGTCAGTAAGGTCCTTGTTGACGGTGGCAGTGGAGCAAACATTCTGTTCCGAAAGGCCTACAATCAAATTAAGCTGAAGCCCAAGCACCTTACGCCGGTACCCTATCCGGTATCCGGGTTCAATGGGGCTTCAACTTATCCAGATGGGAAGGTGACACTTCTTGTCACCATCGGTTGCGATGAGGCATCCCGGAACGTCATGATTGAATTTTTGGTCATCGACGCTCCTTCAGTGTATAACGTGATTTTGGGGAGACCCATAATTCACGAGATCCAAGGGGTCGTCTCAACTTATCATCAGCTGATGATTTACGTCTCAGA